CCGTCACATCCATCCACTACTTGTGTATGAAATTCCCAACTGAACATGGGATTGCAACAGTCCATAGCAATCAGATGGTCTCCAGGGCATGCTACTTAAACTCCCTGCGAAAGTCGGAGCCCCGAACTATTAATGTAATCCTAACTGAGGTTCCCACTGAAATCGATACAGACGTGGAAATGGTCGACGCCCCTGAACAAGGGCAGACCTCTGAATAAGAGGAAGACGTCGACATGGAAAAGGCCCCTGAACAAGGACACCCTCTTGATAATTTAGATCCTCGAATGATTGACTCTGAACCAAATACAACCCCAATGGAAGAACTGGAAACTTTCTCCACCAACCCAAAAGACCCTAGTCAGGTCTTGCATATAGGGAAGGCACTGTCTCCCGAAGCAAAAGAAGAGATGATGAGCTTCCTGAAAGGAACTTGGACGTCTTCGCTTGGAAACATGAAGACATGGTAGGAATAGATCCAAGGATCAGTTGCCACCATCTTAACATCAACCCCTCTTGTGCCCCCCCATCGACAGAAGAGACATGCCCTCAACTCGGAGAGGTACGAGGCACTGAAAGATGAAGTAAACAAACTTAGTCGTAGTGGGTTCATAAGGGAAGTTATCTACTCGAAGTGGATATCCAACCCGGTCCTGATAAAAAAGCCCAGCGAAAAGTCGAGGGTGTGCGTGGACTTCACAAACTTGAATAAGGCGTGCCCTAAAGACAGCTTCCCACTTCCAATGATAGATCAATTTGTGGATTCCACTGCTGGACACAAACTGCTGAGCTTCATGGATGCATACTCAAGGTACAATCAGATACCCATGTTCCGACCTGATGAGGAAGCTACGTCATTTATTACGGACAGAGGTCTGTACTGCTACAAAGTCATGCCCTTCAAATTGAAGAATGCCAGAGCTACATATCAAAGGCTGGTCAACATGATATTTGTCGAACTCATTGGCAAAACCATGGAGATCTACGCGGACGACATGTTAGTAAAAAGCCTCCAAGCAGTCGAACACGTAAGTCACCTTGATCGAACTTTTTAGATACTTAGAAAATAGAAGATGAAGTTGAATCCCCTCAAGTGCACCTTTGGAGTGGTTTCGGGTCAATTCTTGGGATATATTGTCAATCAAAGGGAAATTGAAGCAAATCCAGTGAAAATAATGGCCCAGCTAGAGATGAGATCACCTCAAAACCCAAAGGAGGTCCAAAGCCTCAATAGTCAAATAGCCGCGCTGAGTCGCTTCATCTCGAGAGCCACAGATAAAAGTTTGTATTTCTTCAATGTGCTTAAGCAAGGAAAGAAGACCCTATCATTGGGAGACCCCACATCGGTGGCAACACCAGAAATGCCTAAAGGAATTATACAAGGGAAGAAAGGACCCACCAACGATCACTTACATTGTCAATGAGTCCCAAGAGGCCAACAGTAAGCAAGGAAAGAAGACCCAATGGACTTCTGAGTGTGAGGAAGCCTTCCAGGCAATGAAAAAGTACCTCGGAGAGGCCCCCCTCCTGTCGAAACCTCAACCAGATGAGTCACTACTGCTATACTTAGCGGTTTCGGACATGGCAGTCAGCGCCGTCCTAGCTAGAGAAGAAAGGGAGCGCCAGCTGCCAGTATACTACATCAGCAAAGCACTTTTCCCAGCTGAAATACACTACCCAGACATGGAGAAACTGGCCCTTACCCGTATCACAGCCTCAAGAAAACTGAGACCATACTTCCAGGCCCACTCAATCGAAGTTCTCACCAATTTCCCATTGAAGCAGGTGATGCGGAAAGCAGACGCATCAGGATGCCTACTAAAATAGGCAATCGAGCTCAGTGAGTTCGATCTATTGTTCCGATCTCGACACGTCATCAAGGGCCAGGCCCTTGCAGATTTTATGGTTGAATTTGCCAAAGCCCCAGAAATGGAGGCAACAATGGAACGGGCCGAGCCCCCCACATGGAAACTTTTTGTAGATAGGTCCTCAAGAGAGATTGGCTCCGGGGCAAGGATCGTCTTAGAAAGCTCGGAAGGCCACAAGCTAAACTGCACAGTAAGATTCGGCTTCAAAGCCTCAAACAACACCGCTGAATACGAGGCCCTTCTAGCTGGTCTTAGACTTGCTAAAGAGATGCATGTTAGAAGGCTCCTGGGGAGCAGTGATTCTTAACTTATAGTGAATCAGGTCAATGGAAATTTCGCGGCCAAGGACAGTAGCATGGTGGCATACTTGAAGTTGGTTCTGGACTTGGTTCATCATTTTGAAAGGTTTGAACTGACTCAAGTCCCCCGCCTAGAAAATACACGTGCAAATGCCCTTTCAAAACTAGCCAGCAGCAAGGATTCAGAGATGCTAAAGATTGTCCCTATCGAGCACTTATCAAAGCCCTCCACTTCCGGAGGTAAAGAGGTACTATGGATAGAAGGCACCCCATTATGGATGCAACCTATCATCGCCTATCTGAAAGATCCATCACTGCTTACCTCTAAAAGCGAGGCGCGAAAGTTAAAAAGAAGGGCTACACACTTCATTCTGCAAGAAAATACTCTATACAAGAGAGGCTTCGCCTCGCCACTTCTCCGATGCATGGGAGGCGAAGAAGCCACATACATACTCAGGGAAATTCATGAGGGAATATGTGAAAATCACTCCGGAGGAACGGCTCTGACACACAAGATTCTCCGTCAAGACTACTTCTAGCCGACCTTGAAAAAGGACGCTTGCCAGTTTGTCTAGAAATGTGACAAGTGCCAGCGTTTCTCAAATATTCAAAGGCAGCCTTCTCAGAGTCTCTCTATAATAACCAGCCCTTGGTCATTCGCCAAGTGGGGTATTGACTTCATTGGGCCACTCCCCAAAGGAAGAGAAAGCGCAATTTTCGCCATTGTCGCTATTGACTACTTCACTAAGTGGGTTGAGACTAAACCTCTTGCCAAGATCACCGAGGCAAACACTACTAAATTCGTCTGAAAGAACATCATTTGTAGGTTCGGCATTCCCCACTCCTTAGTGTCCGACAATGGAAGATAATTCGACAACAAGAAGATGCAGGAATTATGCGACGAGCTAGGCATAAAGACTTTTCAACGCCTCATCACCCTCAAGCAAACGAACAAGTTGAGGTAGTGAACAAAACTATCAAGCACACCCTGAAAAGAAAGCTTAACACCTCAAAGGGGGCTTGGGTGGACGAACTCTCCCACGTCCTCTGGGCCATCAGAACATCTAGCCGAATTACAATAGGAAAAACACCTTTCTCGATGACCTACGGAGCCGAGGCTATGAGCTCGGTCGAGGTCGGGGTCCCATCACACCATCGAATACACTTCAATGAGATCAGCAACGACGAGGCTCAGATAAGCAAACTCCACCTCCTTGAAGAAAGAAGGGATTCTTCCCAAGTAAACTTGGCAAAATACCATCGAAAGATGACCCGCTATCATAACTCCAAGGTCAGAAACAGAACTCTTCAATTGGGGGACCTCGTCCTAAGAAGGGTGTTCCAATCTTCAAAACCAACAGGATCCGGAGTGTTTGGACCGAATTGGGAGGGCCCTTACCGCATTTGAAGAGAGTCCTGACCCGGCACTTTCGAAATTGAAGACATGGCAGGAAAGGCACTACCTCATTAGTGGAACATCGAACATTTGAGGAAGTACTATCAATGATGAGCCTTTATTCCGATCCGATCTCAATATTATCTAATGAATGGGTGTTCTGATCCGATCTCAGTTGTAAATTCTCTAGCTTACTAAGTGCTGAAATTGCCTTGGTAAAGTGTGGTGTAATTTGTCAAAGTAATGAAACTTCGGTTCTGTGTCACATCGGTTAGTAAATTCTTTTTTCCTCAGTCCTTCAATATGTTTGCTTAAGTGATCCGATCCCAAATTGCTAACTGATTAACGCTAGGAGGCACTTCATATTTACTTAAGTGGTCCACTTCATATTAACTTGAGTGACCTGATCTTCTGTTATTAACTTGTTATTATCAAGGGGCGCTTAGTCTTGAATGCTCATACTAGGTTAAACAGATGAATACAATAAAATAGAAGAAGCACCAATACTTAAGAAAAATTTTTATTACATTTACTTCAATTCGAAATACAAAAGGCCAAAGCCTTTACAAAAGTTGGCCCTATTCTACTGGAGGGTATTCTCGGGCCGCTTCTGCCTCGACCGCCTCTGGGGCCTCCGGAGCTTCTTTAGCAAGCCTGTCAAGCCGGCCTCTAGTTGGTCCTCCGAACTCTACCTCCAAAGTGGAGATGTCCAGAGTAGGGTGGATCTCTTTCAGCCGACCCAGCAAGCCTTGGGCACTCCAAGAGGCCCAAAAGTTGGTGAAGTCATCATACAGGGAGTGTTCTTCAAAATGGTCAATGAAATTCTGAACCGCCACCTCTCCTGCCGACTTCAACTCCTCCTTCAAGGAGGCGATCTCCTCAGATTGAGCCTTCGCCTTTTGCCTCAGCTCCGCCTTTTCTTTGTTTGAGGCCTCTAGAGCCTCCGTGGCGAGCTGGTGGTGCTCGTTGGCGTGATCCACTCACCGAGTCATGGCAGCCACCTAGCACTCCACCTCATATAGCTCCTTCTTCAGCTGCTCCACTTCAGCTTTGGCGGCAGATAGCTGGGCCTCGGCCTCCTTCCTACCCTTCTCACCTCAGTGGCCTTGGCCTGTGCCTCCCTCACAGCATCCCCATAATGCATCGCCTCCTCGAGGCGCTTGGCGAGATCCTCCTTCTTAGCATTTAAGTCCTTCACTAAGCCCTCCAGTTGGATGCTGGTGCTAAGTGCTCCGGCCATGCAGGCACTGTTGGCCGCTACCAAGTCTTCGGTCGTGCAGAAAGTGGTGTAGTCCCTCCACTCTTCAATCCATATTTGTTGTGGACCACTGCCACCGCAGCTGTTTTCGGAGGAAGAGCCTCCAACACCCCTTTAACCGGCTCCTCTGGATTGGTGCCCAAGAAGTCAACCTCCTTAGAGGGACGAGCCCCTTTCCTCCTCTGCTGCCCCGACACTTGGCCAATAGGAACCGCAGCAAGTAGCGAAGTGGCCGAGGCAGTAGCAATCTCTGCTAGCGCGGGCCTCTTCTTTGGAATGGCCACCCCAGTTGGAATTGTAGTCTGCTTCAGAATTGGGGATGGCCTCGCCACAGTTGGGCATTTGGAAGGGGTGGCACTCTTCTTGCCCTTCCGCAACAGATCCGTTGTGGGGTCCTCTGCTACCTCCTCCTTCGTTGGAGGCTGGAGCTTTTTACTGGCCTCCACCAGGTCCTTCACTTGCTTCTTGTACATGAAGGATGAGGTCTTCAGCGCCTGAGCCTCTGCCATCATACTTTGGATGGTCTTGAAGTCGGGGCACACGGGCATCTTCTTGTTGAAGTTATCTGTAAAGAACAAACAATGGATTAGTACAAGTGTAAAGACTTCAGAGATATGGAAGGGTGAAGGCTTCGGGACAGTTACCTTGAGATGCCATCAAGTCGTGTGTAATGAACTGTAGATTTTTTCTGATCAACCGGTGGTATGACCTCTTCTTCTGAGGCAGCTAATAAATGATGCAAATAGTGTCGAAGTCCTTAGAAGACAGTTCGGACTGGGGAAGAGCACCTTCAAAAGAAATACAAATGTTAGTCACGATCCGAACCGAAGCGAAGCGAAATATAAAGAAATGCAACTGTGATACTCACTAAGTGTCGAGTACTTCGTGGGGATTGTAAGAGGTGCCAGGGGGTCCCCCTCCATCATGTCCCATCATCCTGCAGCCCAGCACCACGAGCCCTTCCACTCTTTGATGGAACTTGACAGATCGAGCACGAATGGAGTATGGGAACCCCATGAAGTAAGGTAATACCAGCCCCAGGTCTTATCCCCCCAGTTGTCACTTTAGGGATATAAAGGGTCTGAAAGACGGAGAAGGGCATCTCAACCCTAAGTGACATCTCTTTTCACAACATCCAGGAGCCCACCATTTGGCTCCAGGAGTTCGAGTTGAGTTGGGTCGGGGGCTAACCCATACGACCTAAGTACCATCCTAAAGAAAGGGTGGATTGGAAGCCTAAGGCCGGCTCTAAGAATCGCCTCACTTATGGCCACGCACCCCAACCTAGGGTAGCAGGCCCTCTCTTCAGGCTCGGGGAGGATCAAATCTACGCTATCTGGAATCATGTATTCTACCCTAAGTCTCTCTAGGTTGGCCTCCTTTAGTTTAGAGGGGTAATCCGACGCCCCCCAGTGCACAGAAGTATCAGCCGGGCTATCCGGCCTCCTCCATATGTTCTCCCCCCAATAATCACTTCGGCTATCTCAGAGGAGGTCGCCATAGTGGACTCGTCCATCCTCACTAATTCTAGCCCCCTCCCCAAACCAGAACTTCCATCAGACGCCATTTTTCAGAAAATAAATATCCTAAAAGGTACTGAAACTTACGAATTCAGAGGGTTCCCCAGCCAGAAATGGTCAGAAAATGATGTAAGGTCGCCGAAAATGCTCGAAAAACGTCGAAAATCGCGAATGGTATAAGAGCAAAATGAGTTTTCTATTTGCACAAAGGTGAAAAGCTTCAAAGACGCTCAAAGTTTGCCTTTTATAAAACGCTCCAGCTGATCTCCACCGTTTAATTCAAATGCAATCAATCTAGACCATCCGTCGCATTATCAATCTAGGCCATTGAAATGAAACGCCAGACTTGATCCACGCCTAAGATCTTGATGTGACCCTCACGCTCGCACATAACACGTCACCTCGGTCACCACCAGCCGTCGACAATAAGTAGCCGCAGCAGCCTTTTAGGGGAATGGGCATGGCACCCAACTGTCACCTTGGAAATACGCAACAGCTATCAAATCATTTAACGTCAGATGCCCACCTCGGGTCGATCTCTTCACTCAACTTTACAAAGCTTAGACGCACTTGACGCGAAGTCCCCTGTGGGTCATCGCCTCGATCGCTGCGTTCCCTCCTAAACTTTACAAAGTTTTAGCCATCTCCCAACGCATTGTCCCCTGTGGGCCAACGCATCAGTGGCAGATGAGCTCCTCACTCAACTTTACAAAGCTTAGACGCACCTGACGCGAAGTCCCCTATGGGTCATCGCCTCGGTCGCTGCGTACCCTCCTAAGCTTTACAGAGTTGTAGCCATCTCCCAACGCGTCGTCCCCTATGGGCCAGCGCATTGGTGGCAGATGAGCTCCTCACTCAACTTTACAAAGTTTAGACGCACCTGACACGGAGTCCCCTGTGGGTCATCGCCTCGGTCACTGCGTTTCCTCTTAAGCTTTACAAAGTTTTAGCCATCTCCCAACGCGTCGTCCCAAGTGAGTTAGCGCACCGATCGCAGATGAGCTCCTCACTCACCTTTACGAAGCTTAGACACACTGTAGGTCATCGCCTCAGTCACTTCAATGATTTTCTTCCTACACATCATCTAGTCTCCCAGCACTTCGGTCTCACATAAGTAAGTGTTTTCCTCACGCAGTAGCGAAGCTTTAGAGCATCTGCCTATGATCGTCGCTTCGGAGAATTCAGAAGATCGACCCACCATCTCCCACAAGTCGCGGTCCACGTACCGAGGCATACACATCCGGTCAGAAAGGCAAGCTCACCCATGATATAAATATTCATACCTGGACTTGGGGGTGTTACGCCCCTATCTGAACCACCTCAGAATACCCACTACAAGGCACTCCGATTTGCTAGACACCCACCCGAAGTGGTTTCGAAATGATCTCTCCAATGTCAACGACCTGCTATCACACTGCGAGATACAGGTGATTGTGTCGAACTTACCGAGGTGCCCCTCGCCCATAATGTCGAGGCGAAGTGCACTCCAGCGACATCTGTCAGAAGATACACCGCCAATTTCAGAAGGAAATCTTTGCCGAGATCCTTTCTGCGTCTAAGGTTTAAATTGATTTGACGTCTCCATAATGTTAGTTGATGTGACTTATCAACTTTATATCAACTCAACTCGGGAGAAGCAATTACCCACCCACTCTACAGACACAACTGATTGACGCCTATGAACAGACATCTCATACCGTCAGATGTATACACGTGCCCCACATCCAACGATTCATCCCACCTATAAATACCCAAGGATTGGCAAGAGGCAAAGGTAATGAAACTCTTACTAGATAGCACTCCATAACAAGCATATTTATATTTTCTCCTCCCCTTTTATTATTTTGCATAATCTCTGGGTACTGTTCCGACCACCTGAACCTGATTTGACCGTCGGAGTGTATACGGTCGCCGCCGCCCCCGTTGGTCTCAGTCGTATACGTCTGACCGTGCGTTGATTGTGCGCAGGGAGGAATACGTTGAGTAGTTCTCAATTGGCCAAGTGAAAGGTCCAATTTTCGAGGTCAACACCTTACAAGCTCAAAAATGCAAAAAGAATTTAAAGAGAGAAAAAGAAAAATCATTAACGCTACTTGACCAAGGCTAAGGACAGATTAAAAAACAAGTGGCCGAGGTGGTACTACCTCAGCATTGATCTGAATTGCAAAATTCAAATGCAATTAAAATCAAGGGCTGAGGTGCACCTGTTTTTGGGTCTGTCTTCAGCCCTGTTTCAATAGCAGAACTCAAGAAAAATTATGAGTACAACATTTAAGTTAGTATTTTTTTACTTAAAAATAAACTTTACAATTATAAGTTAATTCTGCACTTTTAAATAATTTTTAAGTGAATTTTTTATATTTTTTAAGAGAATTTGTCTTATTAATAGTATTTTTATTTTATAAACAAAATTTTTTACATAATAGTCTTTCTTTCTCTTATAACTAAAATTTTACTTATAAGTAAATTTTTTAATTATAATGTAATTTTTTATTATAAATAATTTTATTTAATTAATATATTTTTATTTGTTTTGAACAAAATATATTTGTTGAAAATAATTATTTTATAGAAGGTAAAATTAGCAAAGCATATTAGAAACAACCAAAATTCATTTATTTAGTGGGTTGAGAGAATCGGTCAAAATTACGTTGCACTAATCTTGGGTGATTAAAAATAAAAATAAAAATAAAAATCCAA